AGAGCCAAAGATGTTAGAATTGTGTCGATGTCCCAATATTTCTGGACCTGACTGTATCTACTCGCAGATGGAATAGCTTTCGAACTGCTGGGTGAACAGGAGCTAGGACGAGTGATGGGAGCTCTCCCCATCCTGCGGAGCCAGGCCCGAACTGCTGGAGTGCCGACCATTTCTGGCCTGCAAACTCCAGCATCATTAAGCCCTGTGCCACCACGTCCCATCATCATTATCCAACCAACTCTCCATCCAGTTGGCCAATAAGGGAAAACTAATCAGCTCTCCATTACTGTATATGAAAATTCTCAGAGGCACTAGGATTGTTCCTGTAAAAAAAGAAAATGGACTTTGGTATGACAAGCCAAGGTCTTTTAAGCTGAATGATAGACAAACCAGAAATTGACAAATTCCAAAAGGACATAGGAAGTTGTCCTACAATAACTGAGACCACTGGGCCACCTAGACTTGTAATGATGATTGATCACAGTTTGGCTTGTCTGGTTTTGGCTTAGTTTGTCATGAAACAATCCCATTGTGATTTATTCAACAATCCATGGTTTAAAACAGAAATCCAGTCACTCACTGGCAGTGGTTCTCCTAGTTTTCCAGCCCTATTTGGAAATATCAAGAATTGAACCCAAGCCGTTCTACAGCTAAACCTTTCTTTTCTTGATCCATCTTTGCTTTAAGCCTGCACATCTTCTGCTTTTTCAGTTCCAAGCAGGTAGGAAAGTGGGACACCTTAAAACAGCATCAGAGTGTTGGTTCAGTCAAAAGGAGAATTAAGTTGAGGACAGCTTTTTGACTCTTCTTCTGTCTTCTAAGAAAAATCTGGTGAGAAACAGTATGCAGGATGCTGAGTGAACTCCATCAGGCCTTAATAGTCATTAATCTATTGCATGTTTTCTTCTTCTGTAAGGATAGGTCCAATGGGGAAAACCACACAGTTGTGACCCGCTTCATTCTTCTTGGCATCCCACACACAGATGGCCTCCAGACCATCCTCTTCCCTGTCTTCTTACTCTTCTACATCTGCACTTTATTCGGGAACCTATTGATCATGGTCACCATCCTTACTGAACCTCACCTTCACACTCCCATGTACTTTTTCCTTTTCAACCTCTCCATCCTCGACATTGGTTTCTCTTCTGTCAGCACTCCAAAGATGTTGGCCAACCTTTGGGGTCAAAGCAGTAGAATTTCTTGGGGTGGATGTGCATCCCAAGTCTTCTTCTATCATTTCATAGGAGACACTGAATGCCTCCTCTACACAGTCATGGCTTATGATCGATATCTTGCCATCTGCCACCCACTGCGGTATCTCATCATCATGAACCGGAAGGTATGTGCCATCTTGGCTGCTGGTACATGGGTCACCAGCTCCTTCCATGCCACCATCCTCACCACCTTGACCTTCACACTACCCTACTGTGGGTCCAATGAGGTTGACTATTTTTTCTGCGACATCTTTCCTGTTGTCAAGTTGGCTTGTGCCAACACTATCATCATTGAGACCATCAGTTTCATTAATATTGGAGTGGTGCCCATGACATGCTTCATCCTTATCCTGGCTTCCTATGTTCACATCATCTATTCAGTCCTGAAGATGAGTTCTGGGGAAGGCCGACGGAAGGCTATCTCCACCTGCGCCTCACATTTAGCAGTGGTCACACTCTTTTTTGGACCCTGTGCTCTGATCTACACTCAGCCATCACTAAGTGAGATCCTGGTGACTCCTGTCCATATCTTTAGCAATGTGGTCACACCCATGCTAAACCCAGTCATCTATACCCTTCGAAACAAGGAAGTGAAAACAGCTTTGATCAAACTGACAGGGGGAAGATAGGATCACAAACAGTTCATGTCAATGGCATTTTTCAAAGATCAGATGTTGTTGCTTAGTTACTTGTTTAAATGTGCCTTTTTATTGAGCTGTGTTTTCTAATTTAGCAGCCCATATTAATAAGGTCTGGCTGGCTGGTAGTCTGTAACTCTTACAGTGCTCGACTAGCATGTAATGATGAACATTCTTTAGTAATTAGATTACTAGCTATTAACTATCCATATGTGATGGAATGGTATGGAGAAGGCCGCACTCGGGGAGATAAGCATTTCCTTAGCCCCCAGAATGAGCA